TGAAAGATGGGATGTTGGTGTGTGTGTTGGGTGGTTTTGGGGGGGGGGGGGGGGGGTGGGGGGGGGGGGGGGGGGGGGGGGGGGGGGGGGGGGGGGGGTATGTGTGCAATGGTGGACTGTGAGTAATGGGAAGTGTCTGTAAGGGAGGCCTACGCTGATATGTTTCTGTAATGGAAAGGAGGGAATAGAGGGAGGAGTCGCAAGAACTTGAACTTAAAATTTACATTCACTATTTTCTTCGAAAATATACGTGAGTTTCACAAAATGAAACTTAATAATTCATTCAGTAATTTGACCTTCCTATCTTTATCTAGTCTGATTTTAGGTTAATATTTTGTAATATTTTGTCATTTTCTTTGAAGATAATAAAAAAATATATTTCAATAAAAAATTTGTGTTTTTTCAAACAAATATTTTGATTCATATATAATATATAGGACACATCCGATATGGGTGATTTTATGTTTTCATCAATAAATGAAGCAATAGCGGATTAAGAACCGCAAAGATCCAGAATGTAGCAGAGTGTATGATGGATTTCGTAATGAACTAATAGCGAATTACAAAATAACGCACAGCACTAGTGAGTACGAGCATATTTTCTGCTTGCATCACACTTTGTACACCTGAGGCACACTGCGTATGTGTAACCGAGTATCTGAGACGTCATGCATACCAATCACATGGATACGTGAACGGATGACATACGAGCTAGTTTGAATATTGATACATCTTTAAGATCTTTTCCTATTGATCGAGAAACTCGTCATGCAGTACAATGCATGTTTCACAAGTTCGGCATATACGTGTGCTGAAGTGAATTAGTATAACTTCCTCATAAACCTATGAGCTAAAACAAATTCAATATGATTTAACGGCTTGCAAAAATAATTTTATAGAAATCTAATAATGTTTTAGAGTCGCTCGAACTTTTTATTAACTTTTTGAACTATATGGAAATACTCGAGCAGAAAAACTTAATATTTACCTTTTTCATAACAAAAAATCATAATAATTATAATAAAATATTGCGGATTTATTTTATTTAAAAAAAAATCCAGTTTTATTAACTCATAGTAAATTTGGTGTCAAATTTAATCAATTTAATCCAATTAGACATCAGTTCATGGCGAATTCTAGTAAATCCTATGCTATATCATATCAATTCCAGGCCAATTCTAACCAATTCCAATTTCCAATTCCGCCAATTCCTACTGAAGAATTGGAATTGGTTGGAATCGGAATTGGTGCATTCCTAATTCTCAATTATATAGTTAAATATTATACAATTAATTGATTTGAATATCTCAATTGATAAACATCTTTCGAGACAAGATCAAGCATGCATTAGGTATATCAGCATCGAACGAAATGCTTTCTGTTTTTCTTGTATGCAATGATGTAGAAAATACCTGATCATTTTCAACTCAATGAATAGTTTTTATTTCAATATCTAATAAATTTTATATACAATTATATGTATTTTTATATTAAAAAAAAGTAAATAAAAATTAGTAATCTACCAAAATAGTTCAACAGGATGTTCATCCATAATATCATCATCTTCGTGTGTTTTTCTGTCTGTTCCTCCACCTCTATAGAAAAACATTCCGATTAAAATAATTGGTAAAGCACCAAGGCTAAATCCAATATCCCAAGCATCCATTTTTCCAACACCAGCCCATTGATTAACAGAAGGAAAAATAAACCAAAATGATGTTGCTATTAATGGTGAAATAGATGATAAAATTGATAACCAATTAGCTGATACATGATCAGTAAGAAATGTGCCTGTTATGTATGTTCCTAAATAGGAAACAATAAATAAAATTCCTGTACCTCCAGCAGCAACGCAACGACCACCACCAAGATTTTTATCATTAAAAAAACATCGAAATCCATTTGAAAATGAACTCCAAAATGTATGAATATCTTTTGATGTACCAAAACCAGGTACTAAATCAAGTGCAAAACATAATGCAATTGTACCAAATTGAAATGTTGATTCAACAGCTTGAAAATACATAACTGAAAATCTTGTAATTTTTTCTTGATTTTCTCGTGCTTGTTGAGTATATTTTATTTGTAATTTTTCTTGTACTATATTCATTAAAGCAGCTGGTAGACAACCTAATATAAATATAAATGGCCAATACCAACCATCTTTTAATTCTGTTGCAGCTGTCCCATCATGAATTCGTTTAAATGTTGGTATAAGGCTAAAAAAAACACCGGCAAGAACAACCACTACACTTAGTATATGTCGCCAATGATACTTCTTAGGTAGAAGAAATTTTGAAAATATAAATGTAAATGGAATAATGGATTGTATAAGAATTGATGATAATGCTGGTGGTACACGACTACCATGTGAACTAAATACAAATAAAAAACCATTGGCTGCATCAAAAACACCAACTAAAATCATATATTTTATCCAACAAGATGATCTCATTGAATGCGTTATTTGTTTTTTATATCCAAACCATAATGACATTATACTAAATATTATTGTAAATGAAAATGAACAGAAGAAAAGAACAAAATAAACTCCTGTAAGTCCATTAAAACTTCCTAGAAATAATACTAAACCAATTGATTGACCACTAGCAAACAAAACACTCAGTATTGATAATACAATAGCAACAACAGTAAAACTTAAATGCCATTTACGACCAATCGTAAAACCTGGATGACGCGGTTCTTTATTAGAATTAAATGGGGAATCACGTTCGTTATTAATCATTCTTTTTTAATGTGTATTTTATCCAATGAATTCTCCTATTTATTCTTCAAAATAATGTCGAGTCATGATGAAAATTTAATGTTTCGTATTTTTTCACCCATATATGACATGAGTATAAATTATGTCTTGTCAGTGTGATATCAGTCTAAAGTCTCTCATTATCTATTGTGCTCTTTGATAAAAGATAAGGACAAGTACAATATTTGCAGTTCGAAAAACGTAATATGAATATTCACAAGAGTTTGTTGAAAAGACGTCGAAATTTATTTTATTATTGTAAAATAACACTAAAAAGTTCTCCTTATTAAAAATTTGGAAAGAATCTGTTTTTTTTTTAATGTTGACCTTGAATTTAATCATATTCTTTGATTAAACTCATGATAGGACAGTTTTTTTTCTTATGTCAATATGAAGATTTTTCATTTATTCAACAAACATCTTTACATATATCATCTTTCTAAAAGCTAATATGTATGCTGGTGAGTTAAGTACTACCTATAATTACAAATTATCAGTTCTTATATGATCAAGATCTAAGAGCTTATTTATATGATACATTTATTGATCACTTTCTTGTAAGGTGATACAAATTAGAAATAACCCATTTGATGTATTATGCAAAGATGCGTATGTATTGCTGTATTATGAATGTAACTTATCTACAGTTTGAACAATACTGTAAAATTAAGCACTCATTTTAGTTCATGACTTCTAAGGAATATCCTATCAGTGACGGGTAAATCGAAAGAATTATCAAGATATTTTTTAATTGCGAAGTGTTTTTATCGTTTATAGCTTAGGTTAACAATAGTTTTCGATTGAAAATTTGAATGATAAGGAAATGTTCTTTTGAATTGACATTTTTAAGACACACTAATCACAAGTAGACTTATCTATAGGCCAAAGTTCAGATCGATATACTCTTCATTCTATTTATTGTTACGTACCGTGTCACAGACAAAAAATTCGCGTAAATGGCTATCACTGCAGAAGGAAAGTCTAGGAGTATTAATCCGTTTGTAGCTTTTCATGTCTCATCTTAATCTACTCTTTTTCTTGCTCATCATTTCATTAGTCAAACGAATAAATCTTAGATATCAATGAACGACAAAACATTGGTGATGTGCATCTAGAATTCGAACTGTTCTTAGAAATACAAGCAGATAGGCTGAGTGACCAGTACTACCACTATAAAACACAAATAAAACGAGAGTCTTACCGCAATCTCGGCATCGGCTTACACTGCTAGTTATTCCATAACATAAGTAATATAGGTTTTTCTAGACACCATCATATAAGCACCAAAATAGTATCGACTTAAATTGCATCGATGTTATGCAGTGGAATCGATACAAGCTTATTATGACGACAAGCTACTACATTATTCTATAAGAGCTTTACCTGGTATTTACATTTCACTTTTATCATCTTCCTCGTTATTTTAGAAAAACGGACAGAGCAAGATTTTTAAAAAATCCGAAAAGCCAGTATTAATCATCAACGTACAGGTAAAGTCAAAGAACGAAATAATGAACTGAAGTTTTTTTTGTTAGTAAACAAAATGAATGTCATATGATCTTCTATTATCAGAAATATTTTTGTTCTCGAGCTAAATTTAAATACTCATCAATCGAATAATTAGTTTCGATATGTCATGAATACAATCAAAATATTTTGCATTAGTTAACGACTGTATTAATGTCCAGCTGATATTTAACAATGAAAAAATATTTCTAATTATTCGTGATTCTCTTAGACAATCTTCATACTTAAATTATGAAATTCATCAAACAGGAAGGACAATTGTTAATCAAGAACAATGAATATGTCATGATGACATTAAGAAGATAAAAGTAAGTAATGCTCATAAGTATTGATCATAATTTTAAATTTAAGTCCATTCAATAATTGCTTCGACTTCATTTGGTTCATTGGACAACATCCTTGGATACTCAAACTGAGAAAAAAGAAACTCTATTTTCAATGCATACTATTTTTCAGATCGATGAAATAAAGAAAAATACAAGATGAATTATGACAAATGAATTTCAGATTGACCACGGAGAAAGATTATAGATTAAAATAATTGACTGATTCGGTGTGTAAACATAAGAAGATGAATCTATCAAAAAATAAAAGATTCTGCTGGAAAATAAACTGTGCAGTCCTTACTTATCATAATATGATCGGAATGCATTCACTAATAGAGAGATTATCCAAAAGCATCCTCTTTATAGTCCTTGCGACTTCAATATTTTCGACAGGCAATTATTTGGAAATTTTGAGTCTACGACAAACTTTGTTCTATTCATCGAGATTTATGTGTCTTGAAATCTTCAATTTTTTTGTGATGAACAATTCACCAGAAATCTCTTCATTTTCTTCCCTTTAAAAATATTTTTTTAAATTTTTCTATTTAAAAATTACCGTCATACATTATAAGATGAATCTTGAACTTCTTCATAATATTAAAATAGAAAGTAAAGTTCTTAGTTTTATTCTTTAGTCCTGATTATATATTTCCAGAACGAGGAAAAAAGGCTCAAACAACTTCCAAATAACAATAAAAATAAGAAAAACAATAACAGCAAAAAACAAGTAAACAACGATCATTATACATTAGTGTCGTTTGGCTGTCAATAATATTAAAAGAACAAAAAAAAATGGCTACCCTTTAATCACTGCTACCGGTCTTAATTTCACACATAATTTGCTAATACCTGCTGCATGACATGTTTCAACAACATCAGTTACATTTTTATAAGAATCAGGTGCCTAGATAAAAAGAAAGTTTAAATTCAACAAAAAAACATAAAAGTTCATATCTTTAATCGTTTCTCTTACCTCTTCCTGAACAAGTTTAGGTGATGCTATACGAATTGCAATACCTTTTTCTTTTAATTCATCTAATACTTCATACCAATTAAGATTTCGTCGAGATTTAGCACGTGATAATGCTCGACCCTAGAAAAATTTTCTATAAATAATAAAATTTTTTGTCTTATTTCTTACTGCTCCATGACATGTTGAACCAAATGTTTCTTTCATACCTTGTTCAGTACCAGTGAGAACATAACTACACGTACCCATTGTACCTTGAATTTCACAAATAAAAACCCAATTATTATTTCATTCGTTTATATTCATTACCTCCGATAAGTACAGGTTGTCCTGTAATTTGATAATCAACTGGAATTAATGGATGATGAGGTGGAAATGCTCTTGTAGCACCTTTACGATGTACTAATAAAGTTTTTTGTTTTCCATCACTCATAATATGTTCTTCAACTTTAGCTATATTATGTGATACATCATAAATTAAATGCATATCAAGATCATCCGGTGTTGTATTAAAACAACGAGCAAATGCCTAAGAAAATAATTAATAAATATTTCTTCAAGAAAAACAAAAAAAAAAACAATTTTATATATCTTACTTGTCGAGCAAGAAAAGTCATTGATGAACGATTAACCCATGCATAATTAGCAGCTGCACACATGCCTTTTAAATAATCTTGTCCTTCTTCAGATTGAATTAATGCACATGCTAATTGGCGATCATTTGTTTGAATTTGATCTCGTTTCATTGCTTTTTCCATTGAAACAAGAGCATCTAAAATATTTTTCAATTTATTTTATCAAAATAATATCTCTTCTTTTACCAGTTGCTACTTGATGTCCAAGGCCACGACTTCCACAATGTATCATAACACAAACTTGTCCTTTAAAATCAATACCCATTTTACCAGCAGCAAAGCGATCATATATTTCATCAACAATTTGAATTTCAGCATAATGATTGCCAGCACCAAGTGTTCCTAACTAAAGAAATATTCATTCATATGCAAATATAATAGACAGCGTCACTTTTAAGAAGAACATATTTACTTTTACACGACGATCTGAACATTTATATATCCTGTATATTCTCATTACGATATATTGTTACTCGTGCTTTGAGAAAAATTATCGAACATTTCGAAAGCAAAGTATTTCACGCTCTAGAAGACTATATGACTGGTAAATTGCAGTGCGACATGTTTTTTGTCAAAATTCACAAAAAGTCAAGCAGGCTCGGAAATACATATAGAAATTTTCTTTTCTTTCATTTCTTGTATCTTGAATTGTAACATGAATCTATCGGTTAAAATTTGAAAAATAAATGATTTTATCGAGAATATTTTCGGTTTTTTTTTTAGAAACCTAGTGAATTTCTTAGTAGCCATGTCATACTTTTTTGTTATTTGTTTCGATGCTAAAAACATTTGTTGTAAAAGTGAAATAGACAATTCTGCATATACAGCCCTGCATGGAGTTAATTTTGGAGTCAGCTAAATTTTTTTTCGAAAAATTCAGCTTTCACATACGAACTTTTTCTGAATAGTAGATTATGTTTTCTAATATTTTCTGTACAAACTAATGTATTTTTGAGATTCCAACAATATCTTATAGAAGCATCCAGATACGAAACAAAGTCAGAGTCAAATTTAACTTCGTTTTTTTTTCGACTTCAACTTTCTCTTATGTGGATAGACTTTGATAAGACATCATTGGAACCTATATATAATTTGATTGAAAAATTGTGTTTACGATTAGTTCAATGCATTATAGTCCACCTCATTACAAAAAAAAAATGAACTGTTTTTAATTACCTGTGGTAAACCACGTTTTTTTGCCCGTTGTGTAACTTTTGTTGGATCAGCTTGTAACATTCTTCCATATTCTTCACAATGTTCTTTGTCTTCCGCCCATGAATAACCTTCACGTAATGACCAATCCATACCCATTTCAAGTGCTTCTTCAAGGTCTCTAAATCAATACTTTTATAGTAGAAACAAAAAAAAAGTTGTTTTTTTTTCGAAAAATTTACTTGGCATTCATGGGTATAACACCTTTTGATCCAACACCTACTGGTATATGATCAAACATTGATTGTGCTAATTGTTCTTTCATTGGTTGTACATCTTTTTCAGAGAGATTTGTTCGTAGAAGACGTACACCACAATTTATGTCAAAGCCAACACCACCAGGAGATACAATAGCTTTTGGATCATTATAATCAAAAGCAGCCATATTACCAATAGCGAAACCATAACCTGAATGAACATCAGGTAAACCGACAGATCTCTATTAAATAAATAACAAAAAGAAAAAGAGAAATAGATTTTAATTAATATAAATGTAAAATAACATACGCCAACAATGCCAGGTAATGCAGCAACATTACCAATTTGTTTCATACCCGGAAGAAATCCACCTATACCACCGAATTTCGTTGAATTTTCAAGCTCTTCAAACATTAATTTTTCTAAGTGACTATTAACATAAAAAATTCCTTCAACCTATAAGAAATTCTAATGATTTAAAAAACAGCCAACATTTTTGTTTTAGTTTGTCTACATACATTCATATTAGGTACAAAACCTTTTTTTATACGCCAAGAATAACTGTTAATGCGTTCAATAAATTTTAATTCTTCGTCGTATGTACGAGGCATGATGGATCGATTAGAAAAACACAATGTCTAAAAAAAAGAAAACAAACTTTCGCAACACATCAAATGGACTTGATATCCATATTTTTCTTATTGAATGCAATAACCAATTCAAAGAGATCGTTTCAACAGAGTGCGCTAGTTTACTAGAGTTGAAGAAATCAATCTATTGTTGATGATTATTTTGTTCTAATTGGTTATTCTTATTTTTTTTTTGTAATACAGATATAATTTATATTAATACAACAATTCATGATTAGTGAACAATTATGAATGAGAAAAAACTTTGCTAATTAAACTTTTGAATAAACACCAAAGAATATTACAGAAATAAATTCAATATTTACCAAAAGAAGTTAGTCTGTTTCAATTGGTTTCATGTTTATAATTCTAGTAATAGAAGGTAGACATCATTTAATTTTTGATATTATATTGACAAATCTGAAATTGCAGACATGCGTAATGTGTACAATATATAGAAATGTTATCAATATTGTCTGTATTATAACTTACAATCGTCATATTGATGAGTGACAAAATAGATTATTCTTATCTACTATGGTTTTGGGTTTACGTGTGATGTGTGTAGAAGAGAAAACTGACACTCATGTTCACAGCCGCAACTCAAGGTCGAATAGTGAAATGTGAATGAGCATTAGCAAAGCAAGGAAAGTAATATAATATGGATAGCGCATCCGTTATTTCATAGAAATAAATCTTCCAGTATTACATCTACTTGTTTGAATGTTTCTGAAGAAAAGTAATTCGAATAATACTATTGAAAAATATCTCTAATGAACATTTGAAAAAAAAATGTACGCTTCCAAGATATAATTCATACAGCCATTTATCTCTTTCCAAATGACTCATCTTCTAAATTGTTACTACAACTATTCAGTTTTTGAAGCTGCGTTTGAGAGCAGACTAAAAATATAGATCAAAAAGATGCAATTTTTAAAAGACACCCTACGAGAAAACCAGAGAGGGTGAAAACATGAGGATCCATATAGATTTTGAATTTGATTCTATGGAAAGTTATACCTTTGCATGCCATACAAAAATCCAAAATATTATGGTCTAAGGATTTACTTTTGATCGGGTGCGTTTATCTTCTAAACTACAAGCTAATATAACAAAAAATAGAAGAAGTTTTTATTAGAAAAATCATCAATTGAAAGTGCTGTGCGTGACAATGTATATTTACTCTTAGAACCATGAGGCAGAGTTTTCTTCTTTGTTTACATATACATATATTCTTTTTTTGTGAAGGAATTATACTTTGTAAGGAGAGAAATATTTTCTTTTCAGTGAGTTACACCATCTTAAAGAATTGCTCCTATCGAAGTCGTGTCGTTTTTTCGATGTTGTGGAGTTTTTCGTTAAAACTTCTTATTTTTAGTTCAACACGTAAGTTCATTTTACTTTCGTAAAGGTATCATAATATACTTTCCTTTTTGTCATCATCACAAATTTGTAAAAAAATGATAACAGTTATCAAGAATAAATGGCTCAATAAATTTTTTTCCAACTATATTCGTAATTACCTTATATATTTTTTTTTTATTCCTTCCTTCTATGTTTAGTCAGATTTTAAATATGAGAGAAAATACAATTACTAAGTTAACTAGGAAATTTCGTAGGAAAAACTTAAAACGCTAGCCTTTACGAAAGTAAAATAGAATTGCGTGCTCAATTGATTCTAGAATGCTGTAACAAAAAGTTCTTTACCGCTGCATCAAGAAGAGAAACATGAAAACTTGTTGTGTATAAAGTGTACCTAATAACAGGTACTCCGTAAATTTTTCGAATGTGTTTAGACGTTCCAAATTGTTTCAATTTTTTTTTCAAAAAATTATTAAGCGTTTCGGTCATTAAAAATTTAGATGCCGAAAATCTGTTCAAAGGGAACAAACTGTAAAGGAACTGAGATACATCTTTTTTTAAGACCAAATTTATTCAAAAAGTGATATATCTATCTGCTTGGGTATCACTCTATATATAGTCATTACATTGTTTCGAACAAGACTGATACATAGAGAGTATATATGTCGAAATACATTTCAAGTCAAATTAAGATCGTACACATCTCTTCATCATCGAAAAATTGTTTCTTGTATTTGGCAACAAGAAAAGAACTCGGTCTTCAGAAAATTACTCATGGCACATATTCAACTCACCCTAATTCATAAAAACCATATCCGACACGAATTTATCAATTTGAAAGCATAAAATAAAACGCACATCCGATCTGCTTTTGTATGAGTCAGTAATTTGATCATCACGTGTGTCTTAATCAAAATGCCATCGAGATAAGCCATTGATTTTTAAAAAAAGAAAATGGTTTCATTCTTTCATCTCTTGACATAAAACTATGTTGAGGCACTCCTCACTTTTCATCCTTCTCTGCTGCATTAGTGTCTCATCCAGCACAAATAAGACAACGAATCCGATTGTTCAATCGAATAGTGATGCTCTCGCCTATCTCAACAAATTCGGCTATAATCCGTGTATTAATGTGACTGGTATACTATGCACTCTCAGCTTTTCGAGTATGTTAAAAGATTTTCAACAACGATTTCATTTAAAAGTCACCGGCATTCTGGATGATGCTACCAAACAACAAATGAGTCGACCACGTTGCGGTAATAAGGATCCATTGCTCATTTTATCAAAAAATACTGTTGCATCATTAGGACTGAAATGGTCACGTTCAACGTTGACCTGGTCGCTAAGAAACTATTCACCACATATCGGCGAAGCAGAGTCGCGAAATATCATTCAACAAGCATTCGACGCTTGGTCTCAACATATACCATTGAGTGTCAAGGAAGTCTGCTCGGCATGTTCGGCGAATATCGTTGTCGATTTTGGCCAGACAGAACACGGCGATCATTATCCCTTCGATGGACGAGGTGGGACATTGGCACATGCCTACTTTCCTGAAGATGGTCGAATACATTTTGACATGGATGAGCCATGGACAAATAGGTAAGTCTCTTGGTATGGATTGCTGCCCTTTTTCAGTGGATCGTTTCAGTGAAAATGTCTGTTCTTTTCCTGTACAGTTATGACGGATACAACATCAATCTCTATGTTGTTGCTGTTCACGAGATTGGCCATGCGCTCGGCTTAGACCATGTGTATGAAAAAGGTTCGATAATGTTCCCTAGCTATCAGGTGATGAAAAGAAAAGATATTTTGCCGCAATTCGATCGGATCACAGTTCAACAGAAGTATGGATCGGCCTCCAAAGCAACCACACAGGTCACGACAAAAAAAACCACTCAATCGACACGCATAAAAAAAACCACAACCAGAACGAGAGCGACCACTCGATCCACTACGACTTCTTCATCAATAAACAAGCTGTCTTGTGGGCTCTTCGTCGATGCGGCATTCGATTTTCCGGACAACACATTTCATACATTGGATACCGGAATGCTCAGACGCTATTTGCTCGATAAGCAAAACTGGGATACACGGGTCACACCCTTCCAACGCATTTACCATCGTTTACCGAATCGAATTTCTGGCGGTGCTTACAACTTCGTCACCAACGAGGTTCTCATTTTTACTAGTGCAAGCGTCTATCAATACAAAGTTCAGCTACCTTCCTATCAAGTTGAGTATCGCCGTGACGATCCTTTGCCAGCTCATTTACAAAGTGTTATTGTCGGTGCCATTTACTATCGGGATGCAATCCATGTTATCAAATCGAAGAGCCTACAATCGTTTGATATAGAGTATTTGCAGAGAAAATCGTCCGAAAGAAAACTCAGTGAAGAATTTCCGGGCTTTTCTGGTTCGGTTAAAGCAGCATTCACATCTGGTTATCTTCATTACTTCTTCACCAGTGATCGATTGATCTACGTCTGGGATGAACAATTCAATCGGTGGAAAACAGTTGCTAAGCCAATGGAAACTAATTGGTTTGCGTGTCTGAAAAACAGTGACACGATGAAAAAAAAGATGTAATTTGCCATTTTTCTATTCTACAAGAACAAAGAATCAAAAAAATATTGCATAAGATAGAAAGATTTTGTTTTTCTCGTTCTCTTATATCGACATCACTCCACATGAGAAAGCGAAGAAATGAGAAAAAAACGAGAAGAACAAGAGAAAAGATGAGTAATCTCTGAAGGTCTATGAAAAAGAGTAGTAATATGTACATGCTATTTGAATACAATCACCCTCGAATAAAAATGAAGCATTTGGTACTAATGAATATCTGCAAATCGAAGTTTGATCTAAGACAAATTCTGATGAAATCTTCAAGTAGTCTCGGCGAGTATACATTGAATGACAAGGATAACTAACTCCCCAAGTTGTCGATTTTATGGTTTTTTATTTACATAACCTCGAAGATTTATCAGACGCTCATGAATACAAGTACAAAAAGTCGATACTTTACTGGTCTGTCGGTAGTTGATGAATCTTAGAAATAGTTGCACAAGACAGTTTCTTCCTCATCTGTAAAGTATCAGTATCTACACTAGAAGAATACTTAGAAAAAATCATCTCGAGTTCCTATGCTCATTGTGTCACATCCAGTTTTAAGACGTTGAATATTATTAATATAATTCGGATATGAATGATGGTATGAGAACTTCATTTTTCATTTCAAATTGTGGTAACGATGTGATATAGATTTTCTTACTGTCAACAGTTAGCTTGCTTGTTTTCTGGGGCGTTTCGGGTGTCCCTGGAGAAAACGAACATCTTACGAAAGAATAAGAATTCCAAACCTATTCATTATATGTCCATAACACTTCTCGAAGCATATGAGCAGTTCATCTAGAAAAAATCCGTCAACGCGAGTCGGAAAATCAAAGTTTTGCTTATTGAGGCTCAAAGGGGTAAAGATGGCAATACCTTACGATATATGTTACTGGTGTGCAGGTGCGAATCCGGGATAAAAAGAAGACTCACATCCTAGTTCAATACAATAGCAAAATTGAAAAACTTATAGAACCGTCTTTTCAAAAATTGAAGCAAAGCTGGTGCAATCAATACTATTAGATAAAGTGAGATTGAACTAGTCAAACATGATGAAAATATATATTGTATCAACTGATCTAAGCAAAACGTTCTCAAAAATACTTATCAACGATAAAGATAATCTTACATGTTAGAAAGAAACCAAATGTTATTCTAAGTAATAGATGATGAAAAATAAGACTTCATTTTAAGTGCACCTCAATTAACTTTCCCATCTTTCTATTTCTTACCTTAGACTATTATAGTTTGCTTGTTTTCTGATAGCAGATGTATAGCGAGAGAGCGCCGACTTCACTGCATCGTATGATTTATCAATCATAAGCAACAAATGGAAATCAAACAACAAAAAATATATCGGAAAAAAAGATGGTAGCTTTTTCACTGCAATATATATTTCATCTGTGTTATATAAAAAAATATTCATATGGAGGGTTGTTCGTAATATATATCAGTTCCATAGATAGCAGCACATCTACGATATGCACTACTAATTTCCTCTCTCGATAATGAATAAAAAATCGATGCAAGTAGTGATGGTAGATTTGTTGTTGGGTTTAGATAATGGCTTCGAACGCCTTCCTTAAATGAATGCCAAATCGGATTGTCTAATAGTGATATTAATTTAATGTCTGCTTGAACCTCGATTACGACATAACAAAATATGCACCAATTTTAAATTGAAGTTTTTTCCAGAACTTCTATTAATAATATGTCATTACTACGTTCTATTAGTCAGAAAGACAAGTTGATGAAAATGACTTTTTAAATAATCAAACAATAATTGAACTTATGCTCATCAATATGTACCAAAACACCACAAAGATAAAAACTCGATCTACTTTTGTTGCAGATTGTAGCGAAAAAAGTTATCTTTTTGCTAATGTATTTTTTATTGTTTGATTTCCATTTGTCATTTTATATTTAATATATCATGCGATGCAGTGATGTCTGCGCTTTATCGTTATATACAAGCAAACTATAGTAGTCTAAGGTGAGTAGCATAAGGGTGAAGGGAATTCAATTGAAGTGAACTGCATCGAAATATTCGATACAATTGACAAGAATGATCTCGATGATGAGTCTAATAAAAATAAGATATTGAATTATGTTTCATGAATGACATTTTCTGTATTTTTTTCCTCATGATAAATCCGGTTTTGATTTTACAATGTGGTGATCTTTATCTTCGGCCGGCCCCCTCGGATTCTATTTTGAGAACGTTTTTTTTTTCTTCATTAACCACAAAAAGTAACCGTGTCCGCGATCGCTTCGCACTGGAGCAGAAAGACTTCACCAGTGAAACCATATCTTCAAGTGTGGTAATATATCTATAATCTGATCAAATAAACGGATACCATGACATGAAAACTAGGTACTAGATTGGTGGAAATTCTTAGTATCTGGAATCAGTTTTCAGCGATTTTTATGTGTAGTCTATTTTGTTTGCATCTTTTAACATGATTTTGTCCTTTCTTGCATTTGAAAATATCCAGGAACTACATAGCAAAAAAATTTTGGAAAAAGCGCCGCAAAATTTCTGTCGTTACCATCTATCAGTGCATACGCATACTCATGTAACCCTGAGCTAACTGATTGGGTGTGGGTGTAGGCATGTGCGAGAAGAGATACACTTCCACACACCCACATCCATTAATTGATATGTTACAGATTTTTGTCGATCTTTAATAATTAATAACCATGGCTGCTGGTCAAAATTATCAATAAGACTAGTATCATCACCAACAAATTTAAAGGTGTATATGCTGTAATTTCTAAAAATCCTGTCAACTTTAAAGTTATATGTTTCAGTCTGCGAACTATAAGAAAAAAAAAACCAAAAACTAAACGACGTTTGTGTTCTGAATCATACTTCGCTGTATTTTTCTATAAAAGCACGATTCGTGATAATTTTCTGACCACATCAAGCCTCCTATATCAGAACGTACAACGTAATGTGTGCCGTAGGCTTTAAAAAAGTTCTTCCAATTTTCGAGAGACGAAGAATTGAAAAGACTATTGGAAGTTTATCAAGCGCTAAACGAGTTGCTTCATTGATTTTTGGTGGTGGAAAACTATTGAATGCTAATGTATACCAGATCATCTGTTGGTGTGACAATGTGAAAATGATATTTATATTGATAGACGTGACGATATTTCTCTATCAATTCCTGATGGATATGTGATGCACCGAATCCGAGAAAGCCATATGAATCATAATCATTTCTATAGTAGGAATTTCGAAAAAACTGCGATAAATTTGAATAGAATGTAGTGGAAAATGTTGTCAATAGTTCTTTGTTTGTCGATATAAAAAAGCCATTTGGAACGATGTATTTATGTTTCTGATTATAGACATCTAAGCATAAGCTAGTATTCTCGTGATCGCTTAGATCTAGCAAACAGCTTCTACTTTCCCATATGAATTTGTCAAAACCACAGCCAACAAACATCTAAACCTGGTATACTTTTACTAGTAGCAAGCGGTGCACGTTTCGATTGAATTGTTTTTGTTTTCTGTTTCAGCTGTTCAAGTGTTGACAGATGAGCATGCGTTAGATAAAAGTCAATGGTTGACTGTAAATGACGACGAATTGTCGATGGACAATCACTTAATAGATTCACAATAGATGATAACGTACGATTAGTTACAGTTGGTTTTCTTGATGCACGGTCTAACCATACTTTCATTATGTTTTCATCAATGTCAGCGGTGATATTGACAGACGATAAAAATTTCCATTCAAAGACTGAATATTTTTTGAAATCTTTAGTGAAACGAGTATTATTCGAACTCCAACTAAATGTACCATACAAACCAGCAAGGTCATCAAAAAGTCCAAGGTCAAAATTAACTTCTGTTGTGCTTCCACCTGTTTGGCCGTTCCCTTTATTCCTCTTGTATGGAATGCTATCGAAAATTGAAACTCAAAAACCTAGTGAGATTGTTTGTGTTAATGAATTAGAATCGTATTGACTATGACAGGTTTTTGATATATATGTATAAATATCAGCAGATGCTCCAACGATAACTGACGACACATAGTGTGTACCGAATGTGGCAACAAGTTGGTCGTAGTATGATTGGTCGTTTTCAATTGTTGGGTTAGAAACGAGTTTAACTAAGGTTTTGTTAAATGCATCCGCAAACCAAAGAAATTTAGATAGCAAAGAAAATTGATAAAAGTTAACCTATCGCATGGATGGCAAAGTATCTCCAAATATTGACGCTACAATTTAAAAAAACAAAAAATTCTATGCAAATTTCAAAGATAAAATTTCTAACCTCCCTATTTCTCAGCGATCAGCTGTGTTCAAAAATTAAAAATTTGTGGTGTCATACGACTTACGTTAGCAAAAATGTTGGTCCCAAATGCATTGTATACATTTTCTACCAGTCCGTAGCTATGCCTACTGCTGCCGACGTTTCGTCATGCAGACACAAGCGGTTTTCAATGTGGTGTGGTAACCGAATGATGGTTTTATCAGCGAAAGAAAAGGCATACCAGGATCAAGGATTAGAATAGCAACTGTTAAATCAAGATCAATTGAAAACGAACGAAAACAGCTGTAAAATAAAAAAGAATAGAGACTAATGTTGAGGGGTGTGAAACCAGAAAGTATAAGACTAAATGTATTACAAACTATCGGCTACCTTGTATAGAATTGTTCGTATGTATAGGTAATTTTCTCTATATTTGTTTTAACTCTCATATCTAATTCAGTTATTCGTATTAAATCTGGTACTGAAAACTTCTGTTTCCGCTCATTAATAACTATCGTAAACATTTTCCTACTCGGTTTCATAAAATTAAATATTTCATATTTTAATCGTTCAGAAGTTGAACATGCTGGGTCTTCAATTGTATTAATCATCTTTAAAGCATCAAAACCGATTGATAAATATTCTAAACCGGGTAGATCATCACAACAAGCAGTTCTCATAAGACCCAGTAACACGAAAATCAGTTTTAACATTCAAGAAAGAAAAAAAAAACAAAAGATATATGGCATAAATAAGGATAAGTGAAACTGGCTGTTTCCAGAATCTTAAACGAGCCGGTATGGTTTCATCGGTATTTGAATCCTATCGAAATCAGTAGTAGGAATTTTCTGGGATCGGAATCTGAATTGCTAATATAGATTCTAATTCCGATTTGAAATTGCTCATTTCCTGACGAAAGAATCATTATAACTTACTTATGTGTACGATTGAATTGAAAGTATGTTATGTTAAACAGATCGAGAGGTTTCTTTTTTTGCTGTTTAACAAATATTTGTCTACATGTATATTATATAGATGATTGGTTTACCTGTTTATTGCAAGCTAAAGAAAGAAGTAAAATATGCTTTGATGTATTTGTTTCCGATTCCACATATTTTGACTCTACAATAGAGAACGATTCGAAAGCAATTCAATTCTTTTTGGAGTGCTATCGAAATCAGAAATTTTTACTTTTGTTGAGATTCAAATAGTCCATGACTATTCGTGAAGTTTCATATACAAACCGGTTTTCATGGTATGTTCCAGAGACTCAATGAACGAAGTATTTACTTCTGTAACCTACTACATTAAAATAATAGAGAAGTATCAAAAGCTTCGATATGTGTTTTTTTGCTTGACTCAATGAATATTAAATAAAATATGGTAAAAAATATCAATTATTTATATGCGAAGGCTCTATGAAGCAAAGAAAATATTTTTATTGGGAGTCAACCACTCGGTGTGACGCTTGAATATTTCTTCCGTTATTTTCAAGTATGACTTCATACGGTGCGCACAGCAGACCACTTAAAGGTAAGTCTTCATTTTTATGAATGATCTTCTCATTTCTAGGCTGTGGTTATGGGTGTAGATGTGGGTGTGAATATTAGTTATCTGCGCAACCACGGCCATATCCACGTCCCACACCCAAATCCCGCGCACATCCATACCCACACACACAAATTTTCGGCAATTTAGAAGATACAATATCAATCTGATGCTTCATGCTATGCTTTATTCAAATTTCAACAGAATAGTAAAAATTGAAAATCAGTCTAATTAATTTTAATGAAGATAATTGAAAGTTTTGACATTGATTTTTCAAAATTTAGACGATCTTTGTGTTTCCATCACAGAAATCTCAAAATTACCTATAGAAATGATCAAGTGATACTACATGTACTCGAATTGATTGCGTGATTATTCACAATCTTCAAATTTCTACCGCCTGCATCTGCAAATTGAATTCCTTTGAATTGGTTTTGATCGAATTCTAATGTTTTTTTTGACGAATATCATTCAAATCAGCATCAATATTTGTCTGTTCGTCGGTTTTAATAACAAAATCTGGAACTTGTAGGTCGTTATCATCATCGTAATTTTCATCATCCGAATCATCTGTCATTTTTGTCATATCAAGAGTCTCTGAATTGTCTAATGATACAGTCATGACTTGGGATCATATTTCTTCGTCACCTCTCATCTTGGAAAGTGAATGTCGTCCATTTAACCGAGTAACGATACGAAAGAGACTAGTAGGTGAGGCAAACTTTTGTACAATTGTATGGTCATTTTTCTTGTTTTTAGGTTGGTGGTTAATTTTGCTATCGTCATCGCCAAGGTCAGTTTCGTCTTCATCGCTTGAACTCATATTACCACATTTCTCCATATGATCAACAAGCTTTTTTGTTGCGAATTTGCTTAATCGCTGAGGATTTCTATTGCACAAAAAACAATTATAAATCTTTTTTCAACTCTAAGCTCGGCAAGGAAATAAGACCGATTCTGTCGCTTTCTAACCAATTAATTTACAATAATTTTAGTAAAATTGGATTTGTTAGCACAATTTTCCTTCTTTATTTTCAAATCTTAGATGAAATTGGTCACAAATGAGAAGAATATTTGTAATCTGAATGGGCTGCCTATTCAAATGTCAATAAAAAGAAGACAAATCTGAGGAATTCGATTTGCATTACATCTTTCCAAATGTGTGGTGTGTAAGTCTATTGATATAGTTGATTATCTCTTATAGACCGATATATGAGAAATCATTAGTAGAAAATGTCGCCATCAGAGAACAATGTATTGTTTTTGTCTGTTAGCTGCTGGTACTTTTGGGGCATATTATTTTCAGATGGTCAAGTCACATAGCTCATAAATAACACGTGACGCAGAATGGCAAGTTTCCCATCAATAATAGGTTCTTTAAAAAGAAATTTTTTAACAATTTATTTAAAAGAATGAAAGTCAAGATTAGCATGCGTACTGGTGTAAAATAGGTATTGTTTTTACCATGTATTATGCCGAAATAATTAACTTAGACCTCATGATTCAGCACACTTAAGTTAGGAACAATGAAAGTTTTATTCTATTCGATTTTAATCTTTCGTTCGATCTTTGCATTCAATGCAAAATCGTATGCGAACTCAATTGACTAAATAGAATAGTTATCTTAAAAGCATTACAAATTTTGTTGCGTTACTTACCAACTCAGTGTGAAATTTTACTCGTCATTATTCTCATGTTACATACCTGCTTGGTAATGCTTGTATTCTTGCTTGTAATGTAGGATCATCAGGATCGGTAATCATTAATATAAGTAGACGCCGATCATTCATAGCTAATACGAGAAAGTCATTATCGGCTACCATAGACAAGACAAAATCATAGACAAATAATTTTGCCATTTGTCGACGGTCAGCCATTCGATACATAAATAACACTCGAGGCTTGACTAATGCGAAAACATAAGTTGCTGATTCATTGAAACATAAGTATTGACATTCATTATCGAGTTCAATCGGTTCATAGCATGTACATGAACGAATATTATGCAAATTAAGCTGAATGTTTCCGTTATTGTACGTAGCAAGGCAATTATTTTGCAGACAAAATTTATCAGCTTGATCAAATGGAGTAAGTTGAAGTGAACCTCTTTCATTTGATTCATCAAGTTTTACTTGACACGAAATGAGAGTTTTATTATTGAAATATAATAGCAATAAATTTTGTGTTTTTTCACTAGTGATTGATTTCAATGATGATGATGAAGTGTAAGGTGAAACATCGACGTCAATATAGATAACACGTTCCATGGTACAAATCGCCATCGATTGCCCATTGTCAGCAAAAACAATAAGACTTTCTAGTCCATTGAGAGCTACGACAGAACTTAGCATCATTGAACATGGAATCTTTAATTGACTATTGACTTTCTGATTGAAATTAAATTCATTGTCAGAAGTAATTTGTTGAGCGATAGAATAGACGATACCATTGCATGTTAAAACATAAAAGTTTTCACTAATTGTCGAATGGACTCGTGCTGGAGAAGGAAGATGAAGACTATAAAGAGCTTCATCATTAAGTGATTTAGCCGAATAGATTACAATCCAATGATTACTTGTCAGTATGAGTACATATATAATCTCTGAATTTAAATTATTAGACGCAATGACACACTCGTTTATAGTTACATCATCGAAAAACAAACGAGTACAGTGAATGGATGCTGCACATTGATATGACCATGATGTAAGTTCACTAGAAAAAAATTTTGTAACATAGTAATTAATTCTTTAATTAGATATCCAGATTTTCTAAAGGTATACGTATTCATTTTGATATTTTTCATTACTACAGATTGACACAATGCATTTAAATTATTTGAAAAGTAATACAATACAGTTGATGATTATCTGCTCGAGAAAAAAAAACTATTTAGCACATTGTGAATCGAATCTGTTCATAGACTACTCTTCAGAAATTTCCGAGGTAAATAAATTTCAATTTGATTGTCTCTCTTCAGAAAAATAAAACTTTTGATGATATTCTTTTGTCTCATACTGTCCAAACGGAATTCAAATAGAAGTCTATGATGTAATTACCGTTTTGAACCGTCAAGAGTAATCGCAGTCTTATTAAGCAGTTGAACAGTTCGTATAACTTCGTTTGTACGTGGAAGCGAAGGCATATTCTTGAATGTTTCTCGTGCATGTGTTGCACGATATACTTGAAAGACTCCGTTTTCCAATGAACATGCGAATAAGGATGCTAAAAACATAAAACAAAATAAAATCGAACATGTTCTTGATCAATGGTGAATTCAAGTGTCTATGCAAAGTAGTTTGAATAAACCTAAAGAATGTAAAATTAAAACGCGATCGGGTAATGTTAATAGTAACTGAAAGCTTGCGTCATATTTTATGCAGTTTGCAGTAATACCTCGAGCAAGTATCCCAACACGTACACATTAGTTATGAGTGATATTCCTACAAAATATGAGCAATAAATTATTGTCATTCGTTTTTTTTAATAACCTGTCATATTGATTGTCAAATTTATATAATTAGAACTAGTTAAATCTGTCTCATTTATATTCTGATGATTGCAAATAAGACTTTCAGTTTGAAGATAGATTGCAATCAAAGGTCAGAAGCACTTATTTCGGTATCATTTTATTCGATTTTTACAGTCTTATCATCCATCAAAATATAATAGGTAGAAACTTTTCTAATTCATTTGGGTCGATTCGTTGCATATTCTATCAAATAATAAGACTTTTTTGCAGTTCATTCATGTTCAAAACCTTTTTGATGTGTAGGCTCTTCTGTTGGGAATATGAATTTTCCAAGATTTTTAATATGGGAAATAAATTTTCTACTTCACATAGTAATGGTTATAGAGAAATTATCCATTGTGCAACTACTCTACACATAGACCCATTTGTCATTTCATTTACGAGACAAAACAATAGCATAGGAAACAAATCTTTGCTCTATGCAAAACAAGCTTCTTTACTTCTTCTTACACAAAGAGACATTTAAGAATTGATTCCTTTCGATTCAAGTTTATTTTCATTTAAAGATACCACATTTTGATTAAAACATTTCAATGAAAAAACGTTTTACAACAGGGGCATTCGAGTGCCAGATCTCGACCGATACCATGCTTAATAAGTCTGATTAGTTCAGTTTGTAGTTAGTTTTTATCAACTTTTTAAACTTGATGAAGAAACATGTATAGATTTGCTTTCGGCATGATATAGAGTAAAAATGCCATCAACTCTCCGTCGAGTGCTTGTCGACCCAAGATGAATAAATTCATTCCTAGTTTACACTAAGAAACGGAAAGAAAGCGTACAAAATGACGTACAAACTCAGACCTACAGAGTTGAGTACATACAAAAAACACGTCAAGAAACGTGATAAAAGTGAAAGAAACAGAAATTTCGATCATCATTCGTCCACTGAGATTCTTACAATGGACAGATTTCCTTTTTCGGCATCGGTTTGGTTACTTTATGGACGACGTCTAGATGTGTTCGAGGACTATAGCTCTAAAGGACGCATTCTACTACTATCGCAGATCATATCCCAGAAAAGCTAGTAAGCAATATTATAGGAAAACAGACATACTCATAGATTATTCTATGTAGATTTCGATTCAACATAGATGACAAATACAGAATTCGTATTACCTAAAATGTAAATTAGTTTGGTTCGCTAATCAATGACGTAGAATATCGATGTTGGCAACCACACTCAGAGCAATATCATTCAATAGTTTCATAAAAGTATTATGTCTATTCATGTTGAGTCGACATGCACTAGACGGAGAGCTTGATACATTTTTACACTGTATCGTCTCGAATGCGAACCGATATATGCATCTTCATCAAGTTCAAAAAGTTCATAAGAACTATGGCTACAAACTAATATCCATATATTCTGAACATAGTTCTATATCAAACTTTATATAATTCTTTACAATGGCAATACAAGAAAGCGGTTCATGTATTCTAATAACACATTGTTGACCTAAGAACTTAGAGCATAGATCATCGAAGTTTCTCGTTATCCGTAATTTTGGGAAACTAGAAATTTCTACTCAGCATACTTCAATGCTTCTTATAGATCATGTTTCAAAATCAAAAATATTTACCACTGCCGGCCTTAGCTTTAATTGAAGTTATTGGTGATGAACTGATATCGACAGAAACATACAATTGATATTTGTGATTCCTGCTGCTGCAATCTTTGCTTTCAATACAAGCCCATTTGTGAAGTTCGACAATACCACCACGAGCTGTATATAAAGTGTGAATTTTTTGCATGCATTGACACAAGATCAAATCGACCATTAATACGAATATAAGATATGTCCTTCTTATTACATTTATGAACGATAAATATGGCATCTTTTGTCTTAGTCATAAAAAAAGGGAAATTCGACTGAATATCGTCGAATGACATTGACTCCGTATCAGGTAATATGATATTTTTGATTGGTTTCGGTCCCATCGGAGGATCAAAAGCAACCAATGTTTTGAGTACTTGTTTATCGGATAAAATTTGCTCCGTCTTATGAAATTGTTTTAAACCAATTAGAGCAAAATCAATAGGAATATTTGCATTCAATGTATGAATTAACACTCCACCAGTAATTGCGACTAATTGAAGATGAATTTCAGCGTGAATTGAACTTCGATGAACGAACGGTGATTTCGTCCAATCAGTAATCGAATAAAACTGAATAATGCCATCTTGAAGAACAACAATAATCATCGAATAGACTTGAGCACAAAGAACATATTTTACTTTTGCTTTAGGAAAATCAAGTCGATCAAACAATCGATTTCTTACTACATTCCAATATTCAACATAATTTGTATTTCGCTCTGCTACGACGCAGAGTAAACGTTTATTATCAAGCATTTCAACAGTCAAATAATCAACTTTGGACGAATGTTCAAATTTAATATTCTCATTAACTAATACAAGATAAAAATGATGCAAGGAATTAACAAGAAATAAATGTCTTTTAAATTCATCATTTCGATCATTCGATGACCGTGCATCTTTTATTTCATTTTTTCCATCGAAGGTATAGGTGTCTGGTAATGTAGTTGAATTCAAATATGGTTCATCCAAGCTTGGTAGATTGATATCCAAAACTGTACGTACTTCTCCCATATCTATGATAATGATTCTATCCGAAAGAGTTATAGCTTTTGTTTGATCTTCTGTAAAATCGAAATCGACTATAGATGTCGTATGTCGATTCATTGAATAGATTAAACCACTACGCGGCGGTTGAAGTTGACGGTAAGGTACAATTAGAGAACAATAGTGAACACTTTGTTCATCAATTTGTTTGATAAATTTAGTAATAAATGGCTTAATACCAAATAGACTTAACATACGTGAAGATACTTCAAAAGCAAAATTTTCCGGATATTGTTGAAGTTGAACACCAACAATCAAATACAGCATTGAAAAAATCGTAATCTCTGATTTCATGGCTTTGACTTCGTCTGATAAACTATACGTTGATGACTCAGCGAATCTTTGAAGATCATTTATGATATCATTGAAACTTGCACATGCAATCTTAGCACCTAGAATAGATCAATATTATTACTTACGAATAAATTTATATTGTTGCTTTTCTTTTTCTTCTACTAATAAAATGAATACTTTACGCATAAATGTATAATTGAAAACCACTTCTTGAGCAATAATTGGAATTGCTAAATTCGTTGTTAATTGACTCAAGAATTGAGGTAATTCATTCAATTTTCTTTAGTTAAATTGAATACGACCATTAGCATTAATGAATTCGATTGGTTGTGAAGTTATAAATCGATTTGCTTGAATTTCACCATTTGATTCATTTAAATTATACTTATTGAGCAACTTCGGATCATTTATTTTGAATGGCTTACTTTTGCCTTTCCATGTTTCTTTGTATAGATCAACCATATTTTGAAAAACGGCTGTTCGCTCTTGAGAATTCATTTTTGAAATATATTGCGAATTTGTAACTTCAATAAATCGACGATGGTACCTGCATTGTATATATATATATAATCAATGAAATGCAGAACATATTGGACTCTATACTAAAGTGAGTATTCATTTTTTACTTCACATTGTATCTGTTACAAACTTCAAGTGAGTTAAAAGAGAAAAAACGATGTCAAAAAGTGAATGCGATTAATTAAAAGATTCACATCTCTATTTACATATTGGAATCGATTCTTCTAGTACGGTGTTCTATGAACACTGGATACGAACTTTTAATATCATGAGGTACTGTTATATATTTGATTTTTATTGAAACGTGAACATGGATTTGATTGATCATTGAATTTTTTTATAATATTCTCGACTACTAAACGAATCGTATAACTTTTGAGATTATGCCGATTCATAGTATGTCCTGTGTTATTTTTCTTTTTGCATGAAAGATGCTTACTCAAAAGATGGTAAGGATCGCTTGAAAATTTTCTTCACCTTTAAACTTAACTAAATATCATAGTATTAATCATACCAATAGATGACTGACGAATCATCAGCTTCTTTTTTCTGTAATATATTCATCTAAATCATTTCGAATTCTTGTCCATAAAATGCCAGGTAAACGTCGAACAGGTGGTATATAATGTTGAAAAACACTTTCAAGAACCTCATCATCAAGTGAAAGTACATCTTCAAGTTCATTTTGACTGATACAATTACGACATGATGTCATATAACATATAGCCCGAATGAATAAAAGACGATTATGAACTTTTTCCAAATGATTAAATAGATAACGAATACAATCATCGACATTTCTTAATTTTTTTAATTCAATATTGATTGAATCATACGAATGCCATGTTAAGATAATATCAAAAACAAGTTTCATATATAGAGGTAGAATTTCATTACGTTCTTCCATTAAATCACGAATAAATAAACGTTGTTCATCACTTAATGAACGTTTTTTCATTGCAAGCCAATCATTATAGACAATTTCGACTGTTGATACTTCAAATGGTGGTACAGTAACAAGTAAATGTTCTGTATCATTTGACGATAACTGATTATAATTAATAATTCCTTTTAAATGCACCAAAATATTACCATGATCAGGTATAGCTGATAAAATACATTTGACGTTGTGTGGGAATGTTCCAACTAGCCATTGACAATCATATATGCATCCGGTTCGAGTTGATCGATTGAATCGAGTAATATAACAAGATATTCACTAGCAGGTATACGCATTAATAGATTAGTTTCTAATTGATAACGTAATTGTAATACATCAGGATAGATTTCCATTGATAGATTGTATAATTTGCATATATGTTGAGATATAGAAAGCATAGTTTGTAGACTGTAGATGAAGCAGGCGTTGTACTATTAAGTTTAAAAAGAAAAACAAACATTAATACAAACATAGAAATATCTTGATAGTCTGATTTTAAATGAAGAGAATTGTCTTATTTGTGTGAAACACGATCTGAAAGGAGTNGATAACTGAGAATATACATTGTGAACTCTTTCTCATTTTTATATAATGAGGAATTTTTCTTTTCAAATATAATACTCGAAAGAGCGTCAGACGCTGCAAATTTTTCAGAAAATAACCTCTCAAAATCGAAAAACATTTATCGTGAAACTTTAAATCACATGCTATCTTATGCAGCGTCTGACGCTCTATCGGGTATGATATTTGAAAAGAAAAATTACTCATTATATAAAAATGAGAAAGAGTTCACAATGTATATTCTCAGTTATCTGTCATAAAATAAACATTTCACTTCATCGATATTTTACTTTTAGTAAGTTTTAGTTATCAAAATGTAGCTCGTCTTTTGCTCTTTCTATCTATAGGGTTTCAGTTCTTTTTAACAATTGTGAAAAAAACATAACTCAATTCAAACGATCGTCCAATAAATTTTGTCCAACGGAAATTCACTACTGCTAATTGTTATATCTCCTGTTTTACTACAACTCAACATTTAAAGGGGAAATTTTCTATGGGCATAGTATAAACAATGACTGTTCTTTTGATGCAAACTGCATCTTAAAAGTCAACTTTATGAGAAAGTTATACTCAAAACAAAATCGTCCGAAAAAATTTTGCCCACTAGAGTATATCTTATTTAAAAACTATATTGGACTTCTCAACTGATATATATGTCCCTCTTGATTAGGAAAACAAAAATAGCTAGTACAGATTCATGTCTAAAAAGTCTCTATAATCTTTTTGCCTTTCGGACTTGTACGATGGAGTAGATGTTAACTTCGATGTCTTTGCTGTAACGCGAAAAATCTATTCCGAAAACTAAATCCACATTTATGCAGAAAATTAAATTCTCTATTTACTGACATCAAAGTCAAAATTCAACATAGTCGTTAAATGGTTCGAAAATTGAAAATAAAATCAGACCATTCATCATGTGTCATCTGTAATTTGTATTCCTAACATAAGGGGAAAATTCCACAATTTTTCAAAAGAATCTTTAATTCATTTTTATAGTAAGGGACGTTTTTCAGTTTAATGGCAGATTCTACACCTCTGGAGCTACCTTTAAAATAAATAATATTTGCTACTTAAAATGTTTTTATATTAAATAATTAACGTGAAAAGTTTCTCATGCTATAAAATTGAATTAATTAATGCGGATTCTTGTTTAACATGTTTACTAAAAGAATTACCACTATCAAACACGTTGCAAATACGCATTGAAAAAAACGAATTGTACACCTCAATATCGTTTGGCTCAAGTAGCCTTGCTACTTGTGTTTTTCATAAATGATTTAAACTAACTGAACTAAGTGAAACAAGGGTATGAGTATGGATGTCGATAAAGAGAAGATCCATTCACACTCACAGCCACAGCTGCACTCACACACAATAGCGACTGTATGTGACAACAGAGAAAAACAGTATGTAGTGGTATTCTATAAAGAAAACTGCTGAATGCGTTATATCATAAATAGGCACAAAGAGGCAGATTGAAAGAGGTAGAAATATAATACATGATGAACGTAAATAAAGGTAGACGATACTGACACTATAATAAACACACGGATGACTCTTTCAGACGTTGAATGAGAGGAAAAGAAAAAAAGATAAGTAGAAAGTCTTATCGATGTATTTATAAATAAGATGAGATTCATTTGTAAACCTGAACAATTTTTTCAGATGCTACTATATCTTCAAAAATTTTCCCAAATAATGATACATTTTCAACAATTTTCCCCAATGGTCGTTAGCACACACGGGTAGATTTTGCATGGCTGAATAGGACGAACATAGAAAAGTACGACCTAATTGAATTCTAAGCTTAACCAAAATTTGACAGTATAAGTCACAGTTCTTTGAGAGACAGAATGATGTACTCGGAAACTTACTGAACGATTATATCAATGTGTATAGCAGGTTGATATGGTGGTTGAACTGACGAAACGAAGAATCAAGTGATATTTTCTACTTCCTGTGACCTGTGTCGTACATATTATTATTAGGAGCACAAAACTTATGTATTGAAGACGTATCTGACAATACAAAGAAGGTTTTTTTTCAGTATAACCATCTGATAAATTGGTAGAATAGTAATTATGCTTGCAAACATTTTCGAAATCATAAAATTTCACACCGTTCGTATCAACTGTAAAAATGAATATAATTTTGATTTATTTATTTATTTATTTGGCATTTTTTTCAAATAAATTCTTTTAATTCTTTAAGTAACATATTATCAAACTAGAAAAGTTTCATGTCATAAAAAAAAGTTGATGAAATATAACAGTATTGAATAAAGCATAGATATGTCATACAAAATGTAACAATCATCAAAATGTAACATTTTTCAAACCTTTGACTGAGGTAATAGAAGAATAAAAGAGTAATATAGACGTAATCTGTCTAATCAATCATTCTCATAAATGTCCAACATAAATGTTTACCATAGACCTCATTAGATATATGAATAGAACGATGTTTTCTATGAAGTATTATTCTGTTGTCAGATGATTATGTATTTTATGAAGAGCATGAAAATCATCGTATATTTGGTTAATCGTAGTTTCCTTCAATTCTAGTTTTGCTACATTATAGTATAAAAAATTAGCATGATTTGATCTAGCGCAAGAAAAACAAATCTATATGTTCACATTATCTGATCTCATTTGGCAGTGTACATATGTGAAATGTAGTTCTGCTTCTTGTTGGTTATTTTATAAAGAGCCCTTGGTTACTTTTCAAGCGTAACGATGTTGAATATTTCATATAGAGTAGCATAGGTAAAAAACACATTTGTGACTAATTTTTAGTGATTATTTTTATTTTTATTTTTATTTTCTACAGTGTGTGAGAAGAGCAACATGATAGATACTTGTTCTTCTTGTAGAAACAATTAAGCAAACGTTTGATGAGAAACAAAAAATGTTGAATTCTATATGGAGACCAATTCAACGAGGAATTGGTTTTGGCCAACCAACACCTCCTCGTCGGTCTGCTTTGGGTTTTATTAAAAAATTTCTTAATGATTGGTCATTGCTTTTTGCTGCAGTACTTGCTTATACTTTCATAATAGCTCTTTTGCCAATAGTTGTAACAGCTTTTGGCATTTTTGCACTTGTTTTACGAAATGATCCTGGAGCAAAACAAACAATTGTTAATTCAATTATCGATTCATTACAAGATAATATTACAAAAACAGCTGTTCGAGAGGTATAGAAAAATAAAAACTATAACATTTTTTTCAAAAATATAATAAATAATTTAAGGTAACTGATATAGCTGCTAACAATCTTGCCGATGATGCAGGTGGAATTTTTGCAATAGGTATTGTATTTTCAATATGGGGTGGATCTCGTTTATTTGTTACTATTGATGATGTATTGACAATAATTTATCGTACAACAAGTCGTTCATTTATTTTTCAAAATTTATTAGCTATTGCAATGCTTATTTTATTTATATTTATTGTTATAATTATGTTCGGCGCAAGTGGTATACCATCATTTGTAATAAATGCATTACCAAATCAAAATGGTGCACAATTTGGAATATTTGTTGCTGGAATAGCTGTATCAATTGTTGTTGCATTTATTTTGTTCATGTTAATTTATTTAATTGTACCAAATAAAAAAATGAAATTAAAACATATTTGGCTTGGCGCATTAATTGCAGCATTTCTACTTGATATATTTATTGTTTTATTTCCATTATATATTCGAAGGTTCATGAATTCATTTCTTGGTCTTATTGGTTTTGCTGTTATTTTAATAACGTTTTTTTATTATTTTTCAATTATTCTTATTTTGGGCGCACAAATTAATGCGTATTTTTTTGAACTTATACAACCACTGCCTGATGACATAGGTAGTTTCTTAAGTCAAACTGTTAGTAGAATGCTTAGGCCAGTAACAGTACCGATATTTAATAATTACCAATATCCTAGACCAAGACGATCAAAATAATATTATTAATACTAATTGGAAAAAATAAGAAGCAATGACCTATAGACATGTTAAATGATTGTTTTTTATTTTGTTAAAAAGATTACTAAATTATTCATCAAGATCTGAATTAGAAAGCTTTTGAGTGCAGTTTAAAAGATTAACTAAAATAAAAAATTTGTAATCATCAAACAATTCGAAAGGCAATAGTTTCTAAAATCAACTATATCAAGTATTAACTTACAATGGAAGAGAGTATATTATTAATGTAAGAACATTGAATATTATCGGATTAAATTAAACATCTCGTGAGAAAACTAACAAATTGTAAATATGCACTGCTTATTATGTGCACACAGTGAGATATTCGAATTATAAGGTATTTACAGTATGTTATACATCAACAATTCAAAATTTCAAAAGGATTTATTTTTCTGTTTTTGCTACAGTTGAATAGAATTTGTCGAGTTGTACACTTCAAAAAACAGAGTGTGAATATGTCAAAGATAACAATTCTATAGGTAAATCAACGAACTTCAAGAGAAAAATCAGTCTTCCTAAAGTTTTGAATTATTGATAAATATCATACATTATAAATACTTTATAATTCAAATGTCACAGCTCGTGTACATCTTAAGCAGTTCATACTTTGAATTCGTTAGTTTGCTTATGTAACTTTTAATTTGATCCGAATATGTTGAATATTTTTGAGTTACAATATACACCCTTTCAAAGTTAGTTTTTCTAATGTATTTCTTTATTGATTATATAAATGACCTATTTAATAAACATGTTATAACATGACAATTGTCAAATAGTTTTTATGAATATACTGTTTCTTGGTTATTTATATGAGAATTTTAATTATAAATAATCTTGACCGAGTCGTAATGCATCTTCAAATGCTTTAATAGTAAATATTAAATTTTCTCGTCGACTTGTTTGATCAGCAGGTTCTTTCATAAAACGAAGCAAATCCGACGATGGACAAGCCATTGTTAAATCCTGATCGATAACAAGAGCACATTTAGTAATAAAATGATGATAACATATTTGAGAAATGCTATCAATAATACGTTTTTTTACGACCTAAATAAAAACAAAAAAGTTATTCTTAATTTATAAAGATTATTCAACTATAAATAATTTACCAAACAGTATGAGTCCAATGCTATTTGAATGTCTACAGCTGCTAGAGCTTCATTAGATGTTAATGTATATGAGTTAGGCATCATCGTAGAAGCCATAAGTAATGGTGAAGTTGAATCTTCAGGTTTCAAAGTTGAAATTGACTGGAGATTATTGTCGAATGCTGTTGTTGGTATACTATCAACTTGCATGTTTGATGGATCAGCAACAGTCATTGCTATTGGTGGCGATGTTGCTTCATCTTGATGTTTCTTCTCGTTTTTATTGTTTTTTTCTTTCACTTTTTCCATATATGCATTGTTCATTGTAAAGATTCTATATTCCACTTGTAATATTTCTTGAACTCTTTCACTAGCACGATCTTCAGCCATATCAATTTGTCTAATAATAACATCTTTAAGTCGTTCAAGAAGACGAGCATATTGAATGTCAAATGTTTGTTGAAATATTCTCAATAAACTTTCTTTGAGATAATCCTGAATTCGTCCAATTAAAGTAAAACAAATATTGGGTAAACGTTGAAGTTCTCCATGAAAAAGTCGTTCGATTATTTGATAACTTGGAAAATTAGGTAATGAAATACCAGCTGCATCATCGATAGCTTGTAAAACAAGTTTATAATAATCAGCTGAGAAAAAATCAGAAAAAATTCTGGAAAATTCATCTTGAAATTGTTTTTGAAATTTATAGATATGATAAGCAAGACGATCATCACCAGACATAGAAACTATTGATGTTTCATCATTTTGGAATGATGATAACGTCATAGACTTAAATGTTGTTTGACCACCAACACTAATCATATTGATTCTTGTTAAAACATCATAATCGCCATTGACTTTAGCTCGAATACTTTCACGAAATGCTTTAATCATCGATTGAAATTTCATCCAACAATCTTGTTCTGATGTCATAGCAATAGGAATATTTTTAAGTTCAAGTTTTTTTTCTCGAATTTGTTTTCGTAATTGTTCAATAACTTGTGGAAGAGTTGAACGAATACGATCTTGTTGTATAATTGCTAATTTTTTAATTAATTGATCCGTACCTTTAAATTCATCAGGCAAATGTTGAAATGCTTCATGATGTTTGATAAAGAATTTAGCTTCACGTTTTTTCATTTCTTCAAACGAAATATCTTGATCGATTTCATCTTGATTTCGATTTAGTACAGCAACACAACCTAATTTTAATTGCATGGCACCTGATCCTTTTCCTAATAGTTTTTCTGCAATGCCTTTATCATATTTATCAATTTTTGAAGCAGCTATTAATTGCCGATGGCATTGTGGATCGAATTCTTTAGCTAATTTCATCGATTCTGATGTTGTAAAATCAACAGAAGCTGGAATTACATGCAAAACAACCTAAATAATTTTAGAAATTTTAAAGATATTCAACTTAATATGAACAAACTTACAGCTGTTGCTGGTTCTATATATTTATTAATCAAGTTCAAAATTTGTGCATGAATATCTTTTGCTTGACCAGGAAGTGGATTTCGAGTAATACCAGGTAAATCGATAAGTGTTAAATCATATGGTATATTACGTTTATACACTGTTAAATAGATCGGTGTTGAACTTACATTTGCTCCTTCACCAGCAATTTCTTCAGTAAGAAGAGTAACTGCACTACTTATCTCACTCATATCATATAGAGTTTTAGCTTCATCTTCCGAAGATTCACCACTACGAATGGTAGCATATTCAATGTCCGTTGTTGATTTAATTCGTAATTCTAATGGACATCGTGTACAAATATTTTGTGCACGAGGTAATTGAATTCCCGAAATAGCTTCAAGTACAGATGATTTACCGACTGATTGATCACCAACTACTACAATTTCTGGTAAAGTTATATTTTCATTATGTAATATTTCACGCATTCGATCAACAACAGACAGAAGTCCACTTGATTCTTTGGCATTAAGTTCGTTGGCTAACATTGTATTTTTCTTAAATATTGAATAGTAAGATGATACGACGTTTTAAACGTGGATTGTTTTATGTATCTACAAATAATTTAATCTGATAGAATTTATAAATTTAAAAAAAAAATCAGGCAACAATAAGAAAATTGATCATCAGGCTACTTAACATAGTTAGTTATATCTTGCTCAAATATAATAAAAATAATTTTTATAAAGATGAATCTTTTATTAAGAAAATTATTTTCACTATAATCGTTTATCTCACATTGCTATCACTTATCAAAAAATCAAATCAAATGAGTATAATCGTTGGCGTTGAATTTCGATCAAACTGATCGATAATAAGAATGTTTTTTATTTTTTCAAAACAGCTACTATATATATATATTAACGAACTAGGGAAAACATGAATGCGAGGGAAAATACCTTAACAATTTCAAAAGGAGATAACCTTTGGGAAAATACCTCAAGATGAAGAAAAGAAGAAAGGAATACATATATGTATATCGAAATGAAAGAAGACTAAATAACAATGCGATTTTGCCTGCGTGTGAGACTCTCAATGACACTAAAGAGAAAATTGAGTAAATTTCGTCAAGTAACATTTCATTCTTATAAAATACATTATTCAACTGATAAAGCATCATCTCAAACAAATACGTCTTCGTTTGAGATTCTTTTTTTTCGTATTATTTTTCTGATGAGTGTTTATATCTGGCAAAAAAAGATCTGAAACAATCAAAATTTAAAAAAAAAATTTACATTTTTCGATTGACAGGGTAAAACAAAAGCTATGGATATGGTCAGTCATATTTATGTTTCTTCGAAGAGAAAAATCACTAATGACTTTCGCCTATGAGAAAGAAGAAAAGCTTTGTTTTTGTTTACAGACAATAACACAGAAAAAATAAATAAATAGCAAAAGCATTATCGACCCTGTTTCGACTGTAACATACTGCATGCATAAGTAAACCGAGATGCTCAACTGAAATATTCTAATGAATTTTGAATACTGATTATCGAAGTACCGTTGACTAACAAGATTTTCATTTTATCACCTATTATCTACCTAGCAAACTTTTCTACCGATTGTAAATTACATGAGAATTTTTTCAATGTTACATTGAATTTGTTTTCCTTATTCGATATTTGATTTTTAATTCTACTGCCCATTTCAAAATAAAAGGCACGTGGGTAGTTTTTGAATAACTTTTGATAGAAGCAAGATAGAGACCTGTGGTTTTCACCATTAGAAAGAGGGGATGGAGACGCATCGAACTGTATATTA